GGGAAAGAAAAAACATTTAATTAGGTCTAAAATACAACAATAATAAGCTGTCTAACAACGTTCCTCCTCTATCTATGGTAACTGTGCTTTCTGCTTACCTTGTCACAAAAAACCTTGATCTGGCAGTAGGCTCGGTGGATGGGTTTATTGCTGCGGTTGTTGTAGCTGTATGTATCGATCTGAATCATCAAAGGAAGTCCTTTTACTCCTTTTTGTGAGGAGAAGTCTGTGCTCAAGCAATTCACTGTGATGAAAATCTGTGTGCCAAAGAAATTACTTTTAGAATGTGGTGCAAACAACTATTAAACTTCTGGAAACACATGACAAGTAGGAAAATAAAAGCAGATACTCCCCTCCCACAAAAAAAATATTTTAATTCAACTACGATCCACACTCTGGCAATTCACGCATTTATTCTCCACTTCTGTCCTAACTACAGCAAAGATGCTCCCACACTGGGAAGAAGGACAAACTTTCAAGGCGTGTATCGATGTTGCAGTTTGGATCAGGAGCTCACATTTTTAAGTGAATCATTTGGTTGTCCAAACTTACCGTACTTTGGTTGACACCAGAGAGCTCAGAGTGCGTGAGCTGGATTCTTTTTTGAAGAGCCAGACCAGAAGATGTGTCCTAGGAACACACCTCACATGCTCCAGCTGCTAATAGTTGCTCAGTCTGTGGGAACTGACTAAAGATAATCTGAGATAAAACCTCCTAAAACGTGTCTCACGTGGATGTCAGGTCTTTAGCCCTGACTTGTTTCGCTCTACAAACCTGCTCTGTATGTTTGCACTATTTGTTAATATAGACATAGCAAGATCATCTTGCTTCGTCCCTTTCCAGCTGTCTTTTGGTCTGGCTTGTTCTTCTGACAGCTCACAAATTAAATCCAGTGTGGCCAAAGAGAAGTCCTACCCTTTTTTTTTATTTTACAAATTCTCTTTATACTCTCATCAGCAGTACTCCTTCCTCCATCCCATCAACGGATACTCCTGATCTTCACTTTAAGGGTCCTTCACTGTCTGTCTTCAATTTCAAAAATGCATCTCATCCTGTCTTTCAAACTGGGAAGGAGTTTCTCAGACATTTATAAAACTACACCCTTCCTCTTCTCAAAAGTCCCCTTTGCCAGGTAGCATCCACACAACATGACACTGCCCTTGCTTCTGGGCAAGCCCTGCCTGCCTTTGCTTCAGAAACCCGTCTCGTGCTTTCCTTCTACACCCACTTACATCTGTCGGTAGCCGCTAGTCACGTCCTGCCCTCTAACCTGCATCGGTACTACAGGACAAGGTGTGCCTCCTCTGCCATGCGTTTGTACAGCCCCTGGCAGATGGGTCTCCCACCACCAAGTCTCCCAAGGGCTATTTTGATGCCAAGCAAGATGTAATCATGAACTGAAATATCACTGCTATCTTTCAGTCAGGATAGCGTGCATGAAACTTGAGAGATGAAACTGGATTAAAAATCCAATTGTTCTTCCCAGTGATGAGTATGTGCACTGCATAGTAATTTGGGCCAATTATTTATTGACCTGATTCTAATTTTCACTCTTCCTCAGTTTAAAAAAAACAAACCAACAATAAAACCCCAAAACTGTGAACTAAGGAAAAGGACAGTGCGTATCTCCTGAACCAGGAGGATGTGAAACCCGCTCCAGCAGAATGAGCACGCTCGGGAAGGAAGAGATCTGCAGGGTCTCTCAAACAGACCTGAGGCACACCTGGCCGGGCAGAGGAGAGATCAGCAGGCCCCCGGGATCTGGGAGGATTCAGGAAGGGAGAGCATGAAGGAATCCCTGCCAGATCCACAAGCAGGGGAAAATAAAAAAACCAAACCAAACCAAAAAAAACCCAAACCATTTGAGTGACCAGAATACTAACATTCCTAAGAGAAAGGCAGCTGAGAAGAAGGGCTCCGGTATGGTACAGCTGGTGGGGGGATACTTTACCCTAATGGCAGAAGTTAACATTACAGTCAGGTTTTTTACAATGGAGCCAGAGCAGCTTGTTTGCCTGACTGAGCTAATGGCACCTCCGCATTTCTGCTTCTGATTGTATCACAGGGCTGCATTTACAAATGAAATAGTTGAACTTTAACTACAGGGAGAGGAGGGAGGCGGGGAAGGGCCCTAGGTGAAACTCTGATTTTGAAGCTGATAGTGTTATTTCTGTTTCAAATTACAACTCGGTCTCCTCCAGCTCCAAAGGTAAGCGTGGATACGGGTGCACATGCCTTCGAAATATGACGGCCTGAATTTTCGTTTGCCTTCAGACTCCTACAGTGTCAGGGCAATGCTCTAAAGTGTGTGTGAATGCAGAGCAGCAGAATGAGGTCTCGCATAAACCAGAATCTGGCCTTGCTGTATTTTAGCCCACACTTCTGCACAGGGATTTTCCAAACTGTACATTAAAATGTGAGAGGGGACGTGGAGGCTTTGCACCTACCCAGCAGCTTGTGCATCTACCACCTTTGCTGCACACTCAGCTGAGAAGTAAAAAAAGACCTAGTCCCACCGCAATCAACTACATGTGACACTGTGTGTCATCTCTTCTGCTGCCTCCAGAAACACAGAGCAGAGTAGGAGCAGCTGGGGAAGACAGACTTTATCGTTTCAAGAGTCCCCATACAGCAATAACAGATTATTCAGCATGAATAATAGATTGATGCCGTAAGATTCAATACTCTTGTCCTGACACTGCGCTACATCAGGATTCTCTGAGGAGCAATGACTGTACGTTCATGCGCATGAAGTGTACTACGCTTTCCGTCATATCATTTGCACCTCACAGACAGATGGATTTAAATGAACACAGATCATTTATTTTTGGGAAAATTTTCCGTCTCCACACAATCTTCTATTAGCTTTCCTGTAAAGCACAACACTGACTTTGGATTTGGAAAACACGGGGTGGGGGTGCACAGAGGGAAGGGGAAGAGGGCGTAAGTTGTGTTACTTGAGTTGATTTTAGGGTTTGGTTTTTTTTTCCCTTTGCATGACTGAAGACTTGCACCAGTTTTAACACAGTGGTGCAGCAGGCTGCTGTCATGAACGGGACCTGGGGAACCATCTGGACAGTCCCCTTCTCTCTGCTCCTGCTCTGACCAGAAACCTTCACCTCCCTGAGGCAGCGTCGGCCAGGGAAGGCCGCCTGCTCTGAGCAGCAATGATTTCATGTGTGCCTGTCCAAGCACAGCCTGCTTTGCCCTTTACAACCCTCATCTTTCCCTCCTTTGCAGCCCCTGTCCGCAATGCACGCACTCCCACTCTCAGTGGGACAAGGAGCAAAACAACCCCACGGACAGCCACGGAAAGATGAAGTCCCGCTCTACCTCTCTTGGAAGACACCCAGGTTTAAGATCCTCCTTGCTCTGGTCTCTTGCGTAGTAGAGTTACATGGTTAGAAAATGTAAAGTAGAAGTGACAGTAGCAGCAGTAAAAAGCACTGCTTTTATTTCCCCAGGGCCCTGTCTACACTTGACGTAGAACGACTTTAATGGATGTGACTATGGCTGTACCTGAATGCATTTACAAACTACTTTTTTTTTTTTCCTGTGCAAACTGGATTTTAGCAATATTTTGCTATCAGGAACAAGTTTGAGTTGTCATTATAGTGATGTCTTTTTTTTTAATGTCAGCATATCTTAGATTAGAGCAATTAATGATAGAGTTCCACCCATCTAGTCTCCAGCTCAGGCATGCCATTGGCAATGAAAAACTAATTTGGAGAAACATTTGGTGCCTGAGAAAGTTTCAAAAGTGGCCTAAGATAATGACAGCTCTTCTGTTTGTTATAGGCCATGTCTAGAAAAAGCACTCACTCTTTTGGCAAAGGCGCTCCTCCACAGCGTAGCTGTTATTATGTGAATTACTGACTGTTTGTTAAACACTGCAGCATAATTAGTGATGTACAAGACACAAACACAGTAACCTGCCCTAAGAGAAAGCAAGACTCAGAAATACATTTCCCCTTTTATCATTTAATCCAGCCAACATGACTCCTGCTGCGGTCTCTCAGCTTATATGCTTTAAAGGTCTACAGTTATGAAACCTCCGATATAAGCCTTTTATTCCTATTTACATTTCTGGCTCCCACAGTCTCAGAAAGAGCCAAGAGCAGAAGGGAGGGCAGAGTGTGTTATAGCACAAAATCAGAAACTTAAAGCAATTTCTCTGCTGAATACTGGCAATACATAGAATCTATGCTGGGGTCATGGGTCTTTACAAAACCCTGTTTTAAAGGGCTTCATCCCTCTGGACTGTAACAACAAAGAGTTAAATGCCTTGTCTCTTAAATGACTAACATCAATCCCATCATTCCTCCTATACACAGAAAGTGTGGTTTTATAGCTTCTCCTGCCAGCCGTTACCTTATAAATCCCATACAAAGGTAAGACCTTTGTTTTATTTCAATACAAATGTCTCCAGCAAATGTTTACACTACTCTTTTGAAGCTTCCTCAACCCACACCACACCCCAGCAACTACATAAAAACGCCATTTGCCTTGAATCCCAAATGCATACTTACTGAACCATTTGTATACACTGAAATTTCAACATTATTTGCTACCACAGGTTAACTCTTCTTTAATAGATACACCTGTGTGTCCGTGCATGACATATATATATATGAAAAAATAAATATGCAAACATACACACACAGACATGGTTTATTAAACCAGTTGCCAAGTCTAATCCTACATAGTTTCTGGTACTATTTCTCCCAAATAAAGTATCTTCCTCCAACCTTTAAATTTTGAGAGTAGAGAAAATATTAATTTCCTCCCTAATTAAATGAAATTTGATCTAAGTTAGGAAGGAAATTAATAATTAAGAACAAAATAATACTTATACTAGTCAAAGCTTGTCCTAAGCACTGCTAGCAACATTAAAGAAATATGGCTTGTCACAATACAAATCACTGATAGACTGTGCTGCTCCTACCAGCTTGATTTTACAGTTGTGCCCACTGGAATCATAGCGCACTTCAGCCCACAATGTCTAAGAACCTAATCCTGCAAATCAAATCACTCACTCATTGAAAACACAGCTTATTACTGTATGGGCTATGCCAAAACTCATTAAGTAACTGGAAAGGTTCCCAGAAGCCTCAGCATGCTTTGGATTAAAGATCTACATTTCAGTTAAATATAGCAGGACAATGATTGCATGCAAGCGTACACAACAACTGCACAGCACACAACTCCTGTACACACCAAAAAGCATGTGCCAGCACCCGCCTGAATAACATATCCGCCAACATGTCTGTTTACCACATGTCCAAGTTGCAGCGCTTTGCAGAAATCAGTAATTTCTTGATATCACTGAATAGCATTTTTTGTCTGCTTTAAGATTTTTCTTTAGCAACTGTTCACTGAAGTCACACCTTTGAATTTAAGGTTAAAAAGTACTTTCCATAAAAATATACAATTAATGTATTGTTTCAGAGCTAACATAATCCTAACAATTTTAAATTAGCAAAGTATTAATCAGAGAGAAGGCATATCTCAAAGAATTGTTATGATTTACGACAAAGATACTCTCCTTTGACCAGGACACTTCTGGTTCTTAATTGCCTTTCTTGCAAACTAACTTCTGTCAGCAATAAGACTGCAAGCAGGCAGATGTGTGTCTATCCAAAATGAAGCTGAGCTCTCTGTTCAAAAGCCTCCACTAGAACTTTGTCAACCAGCCAGATGCTGCAGCAAAATCTTCTGTAGGGCAACAGCAAGGCTACTACCTACCTTCTAGCATATCATAAAAAGACTTTTAAAAGACAGTTAAAAAGTCAGCCAGTTCTTGGTAATTGTTGTTTGTTTCCTCACCTTTTTTTCCCAAGAACACCTTTAAAAATACCAGACATAGCATTCAGGCTCAACTAAAGGAAGCAAACAAATCACCTTGCCCATAAATGTTGCATATTTATATATACAGAAGTAAATACAGGAGTGAAATGAAGATGGACTGTACAAAAAGTGTTCTTCGCTTCCTAACTCTGCTTCCTTTCTGCATAGTATTTTTGCCTCAAGGAAGCATAAGGAAGAGTTTGACATGGCTGTAGACCCTTCCCCTTATTTCCCTGTATCCTGCTCTGAACCACACGCCCCATGGTGACCTCTAGACAACAGCCCCAGTAGAAAAGGATGTTGTTCTAGAAAAAGGTAAGGATGTGCTGGGCCCAACTCTGCTCTGCCAGAAGGCACGGGGACCACTGCTGTCAACCAGATAGAGCAGAGGAAAACGCTAGTGGAGTGGTGTTTCTGACATTGGTGCTGTTCCCTCCGTCCACAGAAAGCAATGGTGAGATTATTCCACAGCTCAACACGTGCTGTCCAAGATTCCCTCTTCCATTGACTTGTTCTGCCGAGCAGCAGTCGGAAGACGAGGGACCGAGCACAAGCAGCTGAAGCCAACACCCCAGTTCCCTCCACGTTACCGATGTGACAGAGGCCTCTGCCTGTACTCTCTGAACGCCTGTTTCTTCCACATAAGATCCAACTGAGATGCTGCCTTACAAACCCTTAGCAGACTCACTGTTAACATGCAGATCCTGGCTGTCACACCCGCGCTGTTATACCCTCATCCTAAAGGGCTTCCAGGAGGAGGGTACTGCTCTGCTTGCATGTGGGAGGAGAAATCTGGCTTGAAATCAGCTGCCCTCCAGGTGGAGTAGGAAAGGGAGAAATCTGATGCTCCAGATAAGTCTTCCTAGATGCAGGTTCAGTCTCCCAGGAGAGACGGGGATATTTGGTTAGGTGATTGCTGCTGCTTCTATTTGATTTTTCAAGATCGCTCCCCTGTGCACTTCCAATGACTGGTCTGTTTTCCTTATTTCTTCCCAGGCCAGTAGAGCGCTTCATCACATCACATCTCAGAGGCCCTGGAAAGAACTGCTCTGTGCTGCTTTTGTCTGACTCAGAAGAGAAAGGTCTTTGTGCCTGTGAGGTTAGTTTTAATCTTGAAATTGTGGTGTAAAGGGAGAAACAACACTGAGCAGAAACAATGGAGCCAGTTTAAAGATCATCGTTCAAAAAGCTTAAGAAAGGAGAGTCTGTAATTAGGCCTTGAAATTCTTCATCTCTCTTGGATGAGGTAATTACTGGAGAAAAAGCAGCCTTCAGTGACGTGCCTTGGAGTCCACAGCCTTCAAACACCGCAGGGGCATCCTATGGGAATCCCCAGACCCAGCGCAACTGGTTACTGTATTAGGCTCTCCAACAAGAGCAAGCATGTGGGTACGTCTACACGTGTGTGGGGAGGGAGACACTTTCGTGCACAGTGATAAGCTTTCAGGTACAACCTGATTTATGCTTGATAGCCCAATACCAAATCGTGTTATGAATCCTCTTACTTTTATCAATACAATTGCTGTTCAAGCTCCTAAAAGATCATGTATTTGATAACTACCACCCAAAATAAATACGCATAAGTCAACGTGCATTTTAATGACTACTTCCTGCAGAAATACAAGTGGCTTTCTTAAATTTCATTCCTGACACTTTTTTAATCCAACACCAGTAAGAGAGTTATTATTTTAAAATCTTACTATGTTATATTTCCAGGGATCATTGTGAAAGTTGTATTCTTAATGTTCTGGCACCCAAGGCAGGAGCAATGTGACTGGTGTGAGATTAGAATAAAATGGCCAAGGACAACACCTGAGACTAGTGGATCTGACTTTCTTGCTCCTAGATCAACACGGTGTCTTGCTAAGTCTGGCCTGCAGCGCAAATGCAAGTGTGTTAAAGAACTGCCAGCCCTGGCAATGGGGATGGTAGTTGCCAGTGGGAGGAAGAGACAAGACTGCCATGCTCTAGCCCTGGCAGTGCTTCCGTAAAGGTCCTTGGGAAAGTCTGTCATGTTGGAGATCCCAAACCTGTATTTGCTTGCATAATGATCACACGCACGCAACGGTCATCTGTTGTGACTGCAGAGGACAACATACCACTGTATTTTGAAATGGAATCACGTAACAGGGGAATATCTGGGGCGATGAGAATGTAATCATTACACGAGTAAATACAGCACCATTAGCAACTGGGCCAAGTACAACTCTGTTTACCAAGGCCAGCTTTTGAAAGAGCTAGGTGGCTTTCAGAACTATTGTCTTTCCTTTAGTGCTCTATTCTTTTAAAACGTGCATCAGAGATGAAAATCCCTGTTACTACAAACCTCAGCACCTTCAGTCAGCAAGTCAGGACAGCAAGTGTTAACGCTGCCACTCCGTGCTTGATGCAATCTCTCTAAGGACTCACTTGCTCGATGCAATCTCTCTAACGCTCTGTTGGAAACACAGTGGGGAATCATGCATGAAGATGTGTCTGTATTTGAAACATCCTTAGCTTTACTTGAACATTGGGCGTTTTGTATTCAACATGAAAAGAGCATCAGGAGTTTGCTAAGCTCAACAGTGTTTGCTGTTTATTATTTCTACATCCTCAAGAGTCCCGCCGCATTACCCCCACTCACTTTACACAGCCTATTTCCCTTGTTGTTTGCTTTCCAGGGGCCAACTTCTTATAATTACCGGCAGCTTTTCATTGCTCCTACACTAGTCCATGCAGCTGAAACAGTCTGCCACCCTTTGGATAACGTTATCTATAAGAAACTTGTTAAGGTGTTCTGCTGTCCTGGCTTATAGGTCCCCTGGAGCAGTCACATCCTGAATGCAAAACCGCATGTCTGAGTACTTGACAAGACAGACAGAAGACACAGACAGAAAAGACAGACAGAAAGCACCAGTCCCCAAAAACAGTCCTCAAAAACACATTCATTCCCAATTGCAAGGACAGTCTGTGAAACACTATAAAAAATAATGGCACAAACACAAGGGAAGGCATACTTTAGCTTTCGGAACACTGATTATTGGACATGTTAATAGTGCAGAAAGGAAGTTGATAATTTAGAGAAAGAAAACATTCACCTTGTGTCCTACACTGACTTTGTAAGTAGGAAAAAAACTTCTACTGTTTCTCAGGCTGGGCATATTTTAAATGGAAAATCACTGAGAGGCCACAAGTAAGAAACTACACTGTGAGAGCCCTGCAGGTTTTCCTCAGAACTACATTTCTGTTTGTCAGTGATACAGGTGTGAATGCAATATCATCCCGACAGCTGTTAAATACCGTCTTGCCTTTTATGCATGGCCAGAACCCCTGGGGTCAGTGAAAGACCACAGTTTACCTGGCTTGGCAGAGACTGAGCTCGCTCACCTTCACCTACCCTTCTTCTTATTTGTTAAAAAGGAGAGAAGTGGAACAGTGACTAAGGATGGATGGTACTTATAAAAGAGATACCATCTGCATGGCTTTTCCTCACCTTTGCCTCCTCATTGACATCCCAAGTAAAGGACACAGCATTGAATGCGATTTCTTCAATATTCCCAATGGTATTAAAACTCTCCTTGTAATCAGCTGTAAGAAATAAAAAACAAACAAAAGACTCATGAAAAAGGTTTGAACTTTCTCTCTTATAGTTTGTAGTACATCTTTGCTTTTTCAGCTGGGTTGTCTAATGCATCAAAACTACCTCTTGTATTGTTTACATTTGATTATTAATAAGCTTAATTGCAAAGAGGTAATATACTGCAGCTTGAGTCTTACACATAGTACATTACTAGCTAATGTTCTTGCCAAATATTGGTTGCTCTCAAAAAGGAATCAGTGTGACTGTAGTGGGAATGAGTGGGTGCATTCGTTAGCTTGGCCAAGGAATGGCCAAAACTGGAAAATTAACTAAAAGCTGTTGAAACATTTAAAGGGACTGTTCAAACCTTGACATAAATAAACGACATTATGGTAAATCCTAAAGAAGCTTTCTAAAAGGCTAAGAGCTATCATTGGAGGAAATAATCACTACTGTACACTTCTCACCCAGCCATTTCAACTTTCCCAGGAATTACTGCACTGGGTGCTGGATCTGTGTTTAAAAAAAAACAAAAAACAAAAAACAAAAAAAACCCAACAACAACAAAACCAAAACCAAACAAAAAAAACCCCAACCACAAAACAAAGAACCCAAAACACAAAGATCCTTTCTCCAAAGCGTATATGATACTAAAACAGCAAACAATCAATCATAAAGTATTTTTAAATTGTCTGACTACAAAATCCACACCCTCTTCTCACTTCTTTCCAAAGGGCTGTTAATATTATCAATAAGCTAGTATTTCAGAAGGAATGCAAAGCAAGAGGGAGAAAGTCCAAATTTCAAAGATGACCTAACCCCCCTCCAACAACAGTAAGGGCAGAAAAACGCGTAAGACGGACAACTTCCAGGTCTTCTTTATAATCAAAAAGAAGAACAAGCCCCCTTTTTCTTTCCCTTTGCCAGCCAGTTTAACACACTTTCTTCTTTTCGATGACAGATTAAGAGAAAGACCAGGTTTGTAAGGAGGTAATATCTGCTTGATTAAAGGAACTTCCAGATTCTTCACGCAAATACATCAACTCTCTCTGGGACATATACATTTCCTCAGAATCCCTCCAGGGCTGTAATTGGACTCGGTGCCAGAGGGCTGAAATTACGTCATGCAGCAATCTTGATCTAATGTTTGCCCAAATCTGCACTTCAGAAGCACGCTGATTCTTAGCTTTGTAATCAGTTATAGAAAGAGGATGTTTTTGTATTCTATAAATGAGACACCCAAATGGTTTAAATATTCATCTCCTTTGCCCTTCTAAAAATAAACCGTTGCTCTTTAAAAAATAATTTCTAGGTAATAACTGTTATAAAATCATTTATAACAAAACCATTGCTGCAAGGAAAGTTATTTAACATTTGAGACATGCAGTCAAATTTGAGACTTTTCTCTCATCTGAAATGCAGGGATGCTGGCATTTCACTGGGCAAGTGAAACTGTGTGCCTGGGATACATGAACGATTTTGGATACAGTAAAAATTCACTGTTCTGACCATAGGAACAGCACAAGATATTTGGTGATGCAGCAAGTCAACATGGCGTTGGAGAGGGCAGGCGGGCTTTTCATTCCCATCATGAACTCAGATCTCCTTTCAAACTGAAGTCATTGGCTTCACTATCTAAATTCAGTGTAGGAATGCAAATGAGAGGAATTAGAAGACACATAAGTAGTTTAATATGCATGTGCACACATCCACCCACCCCTTAAATTTATGATTCACTAGAAAGTGCCTCACGCAACTGACTGTTGCATATGGGCGTGCTGTGTAGGTGCACTTTGGAAAGACATGAACAAGATGTCTTGTAAAGACACATGTTTTCTTCTCCTAAAAGGCTGTCAGAACCTCGCATCCCACCAACCCTTCCCCTCCCCCAGCACATGCCTCTCCTTCCTTAATTGCCATACACAAATCTCATGGAGTGTCTGTGTGACGTGCTGTTTAAAAGCAGAAGTGCATCCTATTCCCCTCAATGTACAGATAATTAAAGAAGGATCCTCAGTAGAGTAAGAAAGCATTTACATCCAAGGATATTTGAAAGTTGTTAGTGTGACTACGGTTTTTCCTATTCTGCTACCGTGAGTTACCAGAAATAGAAAATACGGGTTCTTCGATATGCAAGAAAATGGCTCTACAGGAATTATTTCCTCTTTTGTTGGGTAAACTGCATATTAAACAATGGCAAATTTCAACATTAAACACTAATAATTTGCATGCATTACATACCATTGTAGTAGTCTGTGTATTGTGCACATAAATAATACAAAATATCCTGAAAAAAAATATGGGCAAGACTCGGGAGCACAAATAACCCCAATCTAAAGCTTCCACACCCACTTTTTATGTCCACATTTGAACCTGTTCCAGTGTTTTATCAAATTATGGTACTGATTCTAAATAATCAATATTTGCCGCAATCTAGTATTGTATTCTTTATTTGACATTATGTTAAAAGAAAAAGCTAGCGATCCAATGTCACAGCACAGCATTGTAGAAAAGTCAGCCTCCCCCAGCCCCTCCTGTTCAAAACAGTGAAAGTGCCTCCCTCCTTCTTCAGAAAAATCCACAGCAGCACATAGCCTAAATTCTGGAAAACACCTTTTCTTCTTGCTTAATAAGCGCCAGGTCCTCAGGTTTATTCCTCAAGCACTAAGGACTTGCTTACATGTAAGTACATGCTTATCTTATTAATATCAATGCATCTTCAGACCCAGCACTGCATCTAATCTGTTCAACCATCCTTCCTCCCAGGAGGTGCACCAGCCAGTACACAAAACAAATTAAAGCAGTGACCCCTGCCCACCTGGACTGAGGGAAGAAGTCACTCTATTTCCTCTGATCTCCAGAATATAACTGCAGGCCAGAAGGCAGACAGACAGACCTGTGCCACCAGGGAAAGCAGCGTAAGCAGAGTCGTCACCCCCATCTGAGGGCTGAGTAGCTGCACCCCAGAACTAGAACATCCCAAATTCATTTGATTCTCTGCCTGCTAAGCACGAAGTCATGCTCTAGATTAAAAGTGCATTCATAAACAATTAAAAAGGATTCACAGATGTTAAACATATGCTACAAATATTAAGTTAAAATAATATTAAGGATTATAAACATTTATGGACAGGTTACACAGATTTATGGCTACTCACAGATAGTTTTAAAGAAGCCTAATACATGATTAACCCTTTATATACTGTTCATAGTTGGAGTGAAATCCAAAATAAAAGAGAACTGGGGCTACCGGCAGATTGCCAGACCATCCCCTAAAGATGGAACAAATCTGATACACACTCCTATCCTTAGCAAGCTTCTCTCACTGCCTGTTTAAATGGTTCTCCGTGGTATATCCTGGCATTTGCTGATCTCCCTCATAGACACCTAATTCTCTCTGTTAACTACACAGGACCTGGACACTAACTCAGCATTCATTTACAGGAAGGAGCCCTTCAAGGATCTGAATTTTTAACGTAAAGGGAAATCTTCAGAGCCACACAATAATTTAGCTTGGAGGAGACCCCTGGAGGTTATCTGGTCCAACTCCTGCCCTACTCCCACTCAAAGCAGGGCCAACTTCAAATTTGGATGAAGTTGCTCATTTAGATCATCTGATGATGAAACTGGAAGATTTTGCTAAATGCAGCTTGATGCATGTATTGGAAATATAGTTGGGAGCCTTTCTGCCCTAATAAGCCCAATATCCACAATGCAAGTCCCAAAGAAAATGAAATGTACTTCAGAAACACTGTACTTAGTAAAAGCTAAGGCTGTATTTCAGTTGTTCTCAAGAAAACACTACTGAGCAACACTTAGGTCTTTCTTCTGAAAATGCTGAGGTGAACTGTGCTCTTACAGTTCTTACGTCTGACAGGGAGTGCTATATCAGTAAGTCTTACTACACCAGACTTGCTCATGTTTGCAGTGCAAATAAAGAATACGCGCCAGAGTGCCTCAGAAGTCAGCACAGACCTATTTCATCTCAAACTAATGGAAACATAAAAGACATTCACTTTAACACAGATAAACACACAGCTCTTGCACAGCTCTTGTTTTGCAGAGCACTATTTTACAGAATATGCATCATAAGCTGACTCGTTCAGGTAAGGGGACTGAAATGTGCTGGTACAGCATGAGCGCAGTGGAGTCGGAGGGTGTTGGCACTACAGTGGAACGAGCTCCTCAGCACATACCTTCAAAAGTATGAGCATTAGCACTGCAAGCTTGTAGGGACTAGCACAAAAAAAAACAGGCAGCCTTCAGAAATAGCTGTGACGTGGCATACTTGCTCTTTTAAAGTGTCATGATAGGAGTCATTTGGTCTGGGGTGGAGGTGTTACTGCCTTAACTACCCCAAAGGACAAAAGCCAAAAAAAAAAAAAAAAAAAAGAAGAAGCTGGGGAAACAGTTCAGCCAACTATGATGATAAGAAAAGAGGAAGAGAGGAGATTCAGGAAGAGCTGCTTTGACCAAATACACTTGACTTTAAATAATGCTAGCCTCAGTGGAGGCTGCAGCATTTCAAAGTTGAAAAGGACTGCATGAGTAGAAAGGCACTGCATGAGTAGGACCGCTTGGGGACTGGTTCCCTGATCACCCTGTTCAATCACCCCTCAAGTCTTGCAGTGCTCTCTCCAAGCAACCCTGCTTTTTTATCCCCCTCCTCTCTGCCCCCTCT